TTTTTTTTAATCTTTTTTTTTTTTAAAAAAGATTTTATTTTTTCCTTTTTATCCCCAAAGCCCCCCGTACATAGTTGTATATTCTTCGTTGTGGGTCCTTCTAGTTGTGGCATGTGGGATGCTGCCTCAGCGTGGTTTGATGAGCAGTGCCCTGTCCGCACCCAGGATTCGAACCAACGAAGCACTGGGCCGCCTGCAGCGGAGCGCGCTAACTTAACCACTCGGCCACGGGGCCAGCCCCTATTTGGAAGTGTTTTGCTATAAGTAGTTGCACTTGAATTTCAACTAAATTCTATAAACGGTCCCCTCAGGCTTGGAAAGCCAGCAGTGCTTCAGTGCATTGAGGAATAGATTCCTCAGAAATCTGGTAAATCTGAGAAATAGATTCATTAACTGAACTTTTTTACTTTTAAACTTTAAGGATATGTTTATTGCCAGAGAATTGATCAAAGTGATTATTCAGACCACACACGGAAGACAACCAAGGATGAGCTTCTGAATTTACTAAAAACGATTGATGAAGATTCAAAACTGTCTGCCAAAGAGAAGAAAAAATTGCTAGGTCAGTTCTATAAGTGTCACCCAGATATCTTTATTGAATATTTTGGAAACTGAGTTTCTAATGTCTGTATATAACTTGTGTATTTTAAGAATAAATTATGTATCCTGAAGGTCCAAATCACATTTTTAATCTTAGATGTTCTTCTAAAGATGAAATTGTACTTAATAAACTTTTTTTGTATAACCTTTCGTGTCTGAAACTGAGTATTAGCTGGTGTATTGCTGTTAAGTATTGACCTCTCTTAGGTGAGCTGATTCATCATTATTGTGCACAATACTTTACAGAACATCATAGGAATTTAAATGATAGGCATTGCAGTGTTTACATAAGAAGGTATTAAACAGGAAGGCTGTAATTACAAGTTAATAGGAGTGTGGTTTGTACCTTGAAAGGTACTCCTTAAAGATAAAAGAGAAATGTAGGCTCTTTTGATAAAGTAAACTACAGACAAGTCAGAAATTGAACTATCCTAATGCTTTTGAAAACTTCAACATCTTTTAAAGCTTATTGTGGACAATTTCAAACATACATACAAATGGAGAGAATAGAATAATGAACTCCCATGTACTCATCATCCAGTTTCAGCAGTTGTCAACTCATGGCCAATCTTGTCTATTTAATCGATATCCCCACCCATTCCTTGCTACCACTCCAGCAAATTTCAGACTCATATCACTTCATCTATAAAATGTCAGTATCTATGGCAAAAAGATAAGGACATTAAAAACATAATCACACACAAACCCACAATTCCTTAAATATCATCAAATATGCAGTCAGTGTTCAAATTTTCTGATCTCAAATGCTTTTGACAGTTTATTCAAATAGGGATCCAAATAAGGTCCATAAATTTCAATTGGTTAGTGTGCTTCCTAAGTCTCTCTTAATCGATAGGTTCTTCTCTTTATCCTCTATCCACTCTCCTCCTCTTCCTTCTGTCTGTCTCTCTGTCTGTTGTTGAATAAACCTGGTCATTTGTTCTTGAGTTTCCCAGAGTCTAGATTTTGCTGATTGCAAGCCTGTGCTGTCCTTTATCATGTTCCCCTGTGTCCTGTATTTCTTGTAAATTGGTCATTAGATCTAAAGTCTTCAACAACTTTTTATCCAAGTTAATGATTATTTTGGAACTACTGCACTGTCAAGATGTATTTGGTAAATACACAAGCAATATAATACAATTTGAAATTGTTCATCCTTACAATAATAAAGCCAAAAGATGAAAATGAGACTCAACTTTATCTGTTTAAACTTAGACTTTTAATGAGAGGTAGGGAAAACTGAAGGATGCACCAATATGCTAGCATGTCAGTCATCTCTTATTTTCTGAGATGTAACTGATACTGACTGGTCTTCAAATGGGAGAAACTTGAGGACTCATATCTGTTATATATCTACCATACCAATTCTAATAAAGCAGGGAACAACTTCAGTTTTTGTTTGTTTGTTGCATTGGCAAGAAGGGAAAGCAGCTCTCTTTACTCTGAGTTGAAAGAGAAGATAGCTGATGATTTAAGTGTGAGGAAGTTTTCAGAAACTACTGAAAGTGTGATGAGACTATAGTAGGCAGAGCAACTGTGTGTGTGCTATCTGATTTTCAACCTTTTTTTTTGCACAAAATCAAATAGCATGATTATTTGGCAACCAAAATTAACACCTCTCCTTCCGGGGAAGGCAGAACTAACTGCCTAGTTATATTCATGGTCTTGGAAGAAGCAACTTTCTAAGAGAATGATAATTTCAGGAGAAATCTAGTAAAGCCACAGTTTACCTCAAACTTCATAAGCAAGAATAGAATAAAGTTTTAAGAAAAAAATGGGGCATGTTTACTGCAAGCACTGTCAAAGTTTTAAACTCCAGGTTCGGTGCTCCCCTGAATGCCTTGGGCAAGCCTCCTGCATCACCGGAACTGTCACCCTTGTTTGCTGTGTGCCCTCATTCACTCATCCATGATGTCCTCTTGGGGACCCAGCCACCCGATGCCTGGGTGACTGTGAGCCTCGCCACCACCCTGAGACGAGGGCTAAGCACTGATCCAAGGACAGCCTACGTAAAGGCAAATGAAACTGCACAAAAATCAACTTGGCCAATCAAATTCTATGTAGAAAAGTCTACATTATGAGGAAACAACTACTAAGAAAATGGAGGCAGCGGTCTGTGGTGCAGAGAGGAGTGAGGTAGACCGCAGCGAGCGGCAGGTGTGATGAGAGGGTCCTGGGGGTCCTGCCAGGACGCTCGCCTGGTGCTCACCTCTAGAGCAGCTGCCAGCCTTCTTCCAAACCCTGTGTGCCCTTGCAGTGACCTCCCTTTACCCTGAGGGAGTCTGAGTTCCCAGTCCTTGCGGGCAGAAACCAGACTGGAACCTACGTCAATATGTTTTTAATATTTAAAGGAAACAATTCAAAATATATCAAAAGATTACAAGTAAGCCATTCCAAGTCAAATCAGGGTTTTGGTATTGTCACCTCCACATATAAGTTCTATCAATCCTTCAAGGAAGGGACTCTCACTAGAGTGTGGAGGTGGGCGTGGATCTGATTAGGGAGGTCTTCAGCCCTACTGACACCTGGGCACCTTAAAAGCTTTTGCCTGGTACCACCCACCCCACCCTCCCAAGTTCCAGAAGGCATTTCGAGCACCACCGCCCCCAGGAGAGTCTCAGGTGTGGTCAGAGTCGAGAACCACTCACCTGGAAACTCCAGGGCACCCTAGTCTGGACTCAGGAATGAGAACGGAATGTTTTCTTCGTGAATCTTGGTTCCAGTTGAGTATCTTAAGGGTTTTTTCCTCCTAAAGTGAATCCGTATCTGAGAACTCTGTGCGTTTAAGGAGACATTTTTACTTTAATGCCCTAGTTGGTGAATGGTTTGAGGGTGCTGTGCTGGGCTCAGCTTTCAGTACTTTGGGAATGACTGCCCACGTGTTTATTTAGAAGAGGTGTTTGAGCGCGTTCCTCCCGCTCCATCTTGTTTTGTTCTAGTTATTTAAATGACCAAGTTTTATAGGCTACAGGGGGAGACGTGATCATTACCTTCATTTTGTTTAAGGCAGACATGGTTTAAGCTCAGTCTTAAAGCATTTTTACAAATGAACAGTGAAGAGTCACGTGCCCGTTATTTTTTGAAATTAGGCACAAAAGCCATTCCTCTCGCGCCGTTTGCGTCTCCCCGCGCCAGGAGGCGAGCGCGGCGCTCCGGGCGCAGCAGGCAGGCGTGAGCGTAGATGGCGGCCGGGCCAGGCTCGCGCGACCCAGAGCTGGAGGGTCCCTCCTGCGGACCCGCCGCCCCTGCTCTCGGGGCTGGCGCCTCGCTGCTCCGGGGACACCGCGGCCGTCACTGGGATCAGAGGGGCCGCCCAAACCGAAGCGGGCGTGGGCCGCTGCAGGGAGGCGCGGCCGCCCGGGTGGTGGGTGTGACCTCGGCAGCCAACGGCGCCCGGAGCCGACTGCGCCGCTGCGAAACGCGAGGCAGCGTTTAAACGTGCCAGCGGCCGCGGTCCAGCAGCGCAGCCCTTCCTGCGCCTGGCACGCCCCGCGCCGCCCCACTCCCGTCCCTCCCCGCCGCCGGCCTGTGCGCACGGAGACACGGCGCCGCCCCCCGCCCACCCCCCCGCCGCGCGTCCCCGTCCCCGCACGGAGTCACAGCGCCGCCCCCGACCCCGCCCCGCCGCGCGTCCCCGTCCCCGCACGGAGACACGGCGCCCCCCCCACCCCCCCCCCCGCCGCGCGTCCCCGTCCCCGCACGGAGACACGGCGCCGCCCCCCAACCTCCCCGCCCGCCGCGCGTCCCCGTCCCCGCACGGAGACACGGCGCCGGCCCCCGCCCCCCCCCCGCCGCGCGTCCCTGTCCCCGCACGGAGACAGCGCCGCCCCGACCCCGCCCCGCCGCGCGTCCCCGTCCCCGCACGGAGACACGGCGCCGCCCCCCCGCCGCGCGTCCCCGTCCCCGCACGGAGACACGGCGCCGCCCCTTCGCCGCGCGTCCCCGTGCCCGCACCGAGACACGGCGCCGCCCCCGACCCCGCCGCGCGTCCTCGTCCCCGCACCGAGACACGGCGCCGCCCCCGACCCCGCCGCGCGTCCCCGTGCCCGCACCGAGACACGGCGCCGCCCCCGACCCCGCCGCGCGTCCTCGTCCCCGCACGGAGACACGGCGCCGTCCCCGACCCCGCCGCGCGTCCCCGTGCCCGCACCGAGACACGGCGCCGCCCCCGACCCCGCCGCGCGTCCTCGTCCCCGCACGGAGACACGGCGCCGCCCCCGACCCCGCCGCGCGTCCTCGTCCCCGCACGGAGACACGGCGCCGTCCCCGACCCCGCCGCGCGTCCCCGTGCCCGCACCGAGACACGGCGCCGCCCCCGACCCGGCCGCGCGGGAGGAGCGCCCGCTGCCCGCCCGATCCCCGCCCGGTCCCCGCGCGGCGGGAGGGCGCACGGCCCCGGCAGGTGCGGGCGGGCGCGCGCGCGCAGGCGGGAGGCCGACGTCCCGGGCATCTCGCGGCCTCTCCCGGTCGGTGGGTCCGGCGGTGCTCGGAGCAGGCCCGGCGGGGGCCGCGGCGTAGGGCGGCGCTGACCCGGCTCGAGACCGTGCTCGGGCGCGCCCCGTCGGCCCCGCCGCCGCCCGAACAGTTGTTGACAGCGGAGCCCGGACCTGCCGGTGCGCGGCCCTGAGCGTCGGGGCGCAGAGCCCCTTCCTGTTGCGGAGGGAGAGACCTCTTTGCTGGGAGGCTCTCGTGTCCGGCGCGGGCCGGTGCAGCGCGGAGAGACGGTCTTCGCCGCGAGCGCGAGGAGCTCCTGCCTCGGTTCCCTGCCGGGGCACAGCAGGCGGGTGATCGTTGAATGAATGACTGAGCGCATCGTAAGCAATTGCATGGTTCTCGCTGCGTCCTGTCGCCCTACAGTGGTAGCTGCCGTTTATGGGAAGCCCGTTGTGTGTTAGCTGTTGTTAGGCGCTCTCTGTCGTTTAAACTTCCCCCAAAGCGAAGAGCAGGTAGCTGCATTTTACAGATGGGGAAAGTGAAGTTTCACAGCTAGGAAAGAACCCAAATTGAAACCCAGGTATGTCTGAGGCCGACGCCCAGCCCTCCCACATATACTGACATCACAGGGGTGACACAGCTGTCAACAAACACTTAATGGGGATCTGGGGGATAGACTTATACGTGTGGAGCATTTGTGGCGAATATGGTTGGTCTTGGCCCTTAAGAAGTTAAAAATCTAGGTGGAGGGTTTAAAAAAAAAAGAAAAACTAGCAATTTTACGATCTGGCCCCAACCCGTCTTTCCATCTTCGTCACCTGCCACTTGTTTTTCTGCTTATTTTCATCTGCCTTCACTTGTGCCATTTGAGTGAAATGCCCCCGTTTTCAGCGCCTCTCTCCCTCCAGGTATTTTTTAATTGCGTGCAATCCTGCTCTTTTCAAAAAGACCAGCTCAAATGTCACCTTTTCCGGGTAGGTTATCCCAGCCTCCTTCCAGGCAGAGTTAGTTTCTCCGTCCGCTCTATTCCCTGAGTGATTTCACGCTGCTGTGAAGGCTTAAGTCTCACTCTGTGTCCTTGTAAGCATGCCTGTCTCCCCCTCTGGACCGTTCCTTCTCATTTTTCTTTCCCTATTTAAATAAGCATATTTTGAGTTGGATTTAAGGCAGTGATGGATGCCAGATGTCTGCTCACACGCCCTACAGGGGTTCAGAGAAAGGTGGAAACACCGGTGAGTTTGGGGCTTCAGCCAGATCTTAAAAGGATGGCTTTAGTTTGCTGAGCTGAGCCCTAGAGACCTGGAGATCCTGCCTTTCCTCCTCCCTCTGCAGGGTGAGTTACTTCATCCTTTCTGAGCTCATTCCTAGCACGTGAGGAGGATGAAATTAGAGGTGTTTTTATTTGTCCTTGCTCATAGAATATACTGGTAATGTTATTTTTTGGATCTTGGAGCATTTCCAGAGCCAAATAGGATTTAGGACAGAGAGGAGATGGGTGTCTGGAGTGGGATGTTGGAAGGTAAAGGGGCACGATATTAAAGCAGCCTTCCCACCATAATACAGGCTGAAAATATCAATTCCAGTAACTAAATTTTATTTAATGGAGGTATCTGAAGTTTCAGATAATAATATCAAGCGATTCTTCTCATCTGTCTAATGTGCAGAAGCGAGTCTGCCAAACCTCCCAAAAGCAGTTGACATTTACTTTAATCCATGGATTATCTTCCAGGTGTGTAATGAAATCTAATTAGTTTTTATGAAAATGTTTTGTAGGCTTCAAGTGCTAATAGTACAAATGCTCACTCTTTTCAGTATTGTAAATACGGAAACATTGTCTTCTCTCTTAATTGGAAACAACTTTATTCCTATTCTAATCAGCAGCTAAAAAAGTTAAAACCCCTCCCAGCCACATGTATTGTGATTGTGTGCAACTTTCTGTCTTACCATCTTTTCCTGCTGACTGGCAAGGAGTTAATAAAGATATTTGCCCCACACATTCTTCTTAAAATTCTGTCTTCTGTCTGTCATCCCAGGGATCTCATCCACGTAATAGGGCCAGGGAACCAGCCCCTCAGCCCAGCGTCTTCACTTGGAAGCCTGATTAAAAGCATTATTTCCAAAGAGTTTTCCTATCCGCTTTCAGGAATGAAAGTAAAGAACAGAAGAATTGAATCATCCTTTGGTTAAAATAGAAGCGGGCAGTTAGCGGTGTTCTCTCCTACCAGTCCGCGGCCCGTGCGCTCATGCACGGTCCTCGTGGTCCTCAGGAGTGGGCAGACACTTAGACTCGCTACTCTCCATCTCAGGTGCAGGTTCGTAATTTGATGGAGGATCGGTGTCATTTGACAGATGCCTGTTGAATCACTGAAGTAGAATGTTATAGCTGGATAAGATCTTAGCAAGCCCATTTCTTTTGCAGATGAGAAAACTGAAACCAGAGAGATTAACGGATTCGCCGTGAGTCACCCCCTGCTGGGTAATGACAGAGCTGGAGCGCTTCAGTTCATTTTTTTTTTCTTTCCTAGGAAAGTGAATAAACTTAATTGAGAATGTCTGAAAACCTTGACAAGTCCAATATAAATGAAGCAGGAAAGTCAAAATCAAATGATTCTGAGCAAGGCCTTGAAGATGCTGTGGAAAGTTCTGAAGGAGCTTTACAGAAAAAAATAAAGTCGGGCTCTGCCAGCACCCAAGGAGCGCAGAGACCTCCCTGTAAGCAAACCTGACTGTGGCCAGAAGCAACGTTGTTTCAGATGAGATTTTTATGAGGCTTCCTTGTACAGGGGGCCCTGGGCTGGGTTCCAGTAATATGAGGATACTGCCAATAATTAGCATTTGAGAAGACCAACAGTTTCTCAGCTAGCAACCCAGTCACTTGTGGGTTTTCAAATCCGTGAGAAATTAAAATTTTAGAGTATGTCCAGAATGTGCATGTGTCCCAGCAGTCTGTGACTTTCCAATTTCTCTGAAGTGTTCCGAGAAGTAGGAGGGCGGAGTGCAAATTGCACTTTTAATTAAAAGTGTTTGAAAAGTCTGAGGCAGGTTCCAGCCAGGACTGTGCTTGTGTAGGTTAAAAAAAAAAGCAATTTTTGAATGTGAGTGAGTTCCCCACACCCTGACTTCACTGCCTGGGGCTTAGTGCCCACGAGGTTGAGGGTTCGCTTTGCTGAAAGCGGGCGAGGAAGTCATTTCAGCTCCCTGGCACAGGCAGGCCTCGCCCGTGCAAGGGCGGCCGTTTCTGCGTGTATTCCCGGCAGTGCCCCGACTCGTCGTCTGTTAAGAATACTTAGCCTTTTTGAAGTGAGTCCAAAAATGAAACTTTTCAGAGTGTCATAGTCTAAGAATGTCAGGGTTGATGTTATCTCTTTAAAGTGCGGATGATCAGTAATGCTTTACATTTGGAAGAAGTACACACATTTTTGGGTTTGAGGTGTGTTTCTTTTAAAATGATTAAAGCCTTTCTGGGGTAATTTATTAGTCGACATAGTATTCTTATAGCAAACATCAGCAGACCCCCTTTTATTGTGGTTTATTATAACACAGATTTACACTACTCAGTGAAATTGTGCTGTTAGTAACAGGCTGCCGGGCATGTGTTAGGCCTGGTCTCCCACATGTATGGTTAGAAAGCTTCTATTTTCTCATTTTTAAAATGAGGAAAATACACTTATCTCTTCGAGTGGATGTAAAGATTAAATGAATTCATGTAAAGCATTTAGAACAGTGCTTGGCACATTGTAAATGCTTGATAAACATTAGTTGTTAAAAATACTGCTACTAACATGTCATCTGTTGCATTTGAAGACACCAAGACTGCTTGCCCTAATGTGGATGTGCATGACTAACACGGTAGTTTTACCATCTACAATTTCTGATAAAGGAGGACCTTTGGTTTAGATCTCAGTCATTCTTTGATGGATGGCCTTGCCCTTCACATCCTGTCATTCTGATGCCATGAGTCCAAATTAATGCAAGCCAGCCCTAGACTATGATACCTGAAATTGTATGTCGTTATATCCTTAAGGCAAGAATACTTATCCTGGGACCCGTGATCAAGTGTTAGGGAATCCAGGAACAGCCAAAAAAAGTGTATCAACATCTGGGTGTATATGCGTTTTTCTAGGAAGAAGGTCACGGAAGCTTTTGTTAAATTCTCATAGAGGTGCACACCGAAGTGAGGCTTAAAATCAGTGCGCTAAAATATTCCTCGGTCTTTCCTGCTCCTTCTCCTTGTAGGGAGGTGGGGGACTGTGGGCCCAGTGGTAAAGCTAAGACCCCATAGTCTGGGGACTAGGTCGGGAGGCATGACTGGACACATAGAATGTAAATAAGAATTTACAAAATGGGACGTTTCCTCCAAACTGTGTACATGTATAGCTGCTGAGTTTAAAGTAACTCCAAAATCACATCTGGAATTAAACAAATTAAAATGTAAATAGTAAAAGGATAACCTTTAGTCTTGCAAGTTATAATACAGAGTAATTTTTTTTTTTTGGTAAGGAAGATTCACTCTGAGCTAACATCTGTTGCCAATTTTCCTCTCGTTTTTTTTTAACTTGAGAAAGTTTTGCCCTGAGCTAACACCTGTGCCAATCTTCTTCTATTTTGTATGTGAGATGCCACCAGAGCATGGTTTGACCAGTGGTGTAGTTCCACACCTGGGGTCTGAACCCTCGAACTCAGGCTGCTGAAGCAGAGTGTGCTGGACTTAACCACTACAACACAGGGCCAGCCCCACAGGGTAATATTTTAACAGTAGAATTGCTATTGGTAACTATGATATTGTGATTTATAATAAATATATATTTGGTTTTCATCCCATTTCTGGCACCAAACTCCTAAAACTGTTGGAATTTCCTAAGTAATGAGAACTATAAAGGTATTTCTTAATATGCTAATGAAGTGACTTTTGGAAAGCCCCTGGGTAACCTGAGGAAGGGGACTTGCCAGGGGACCCAACCATGTGATTCAAGGGTTAGAATTTTAGTCCCACTCGGACCTCAGGGAGAGGAGAGGGGCTGAAGGTGGACTCAGTCACCAGTGGCCAAGGATTTAATCCAAAATGCCTGGGTGATGAAGCCTCCATGAGAACCCAAAAGGGTGGGGTTCAGAGAGCTTCCAAAGTGGTGAACACGCGGAGGCGCTGGGAGGGGGCCTGGGAGCTCCGCGCCCTTTCCCCAGACCTCGCCCTGGGCACCTCTTCCATCTGGCTGGTCCTGAGTTACATCCTTTTATAATAAACCAGGAATCTAGTAGGTAAAATGTTTCTCTGAATTCTGCAAGCTGGTCTAGCAGATTAATCGAACCCGAGGAGGAGGTCATGGGCACCTCCAGTCTATAGCCAGTTGGTCAGAAGCTCAGGTGACAACCTGGACTTGTGACTGGCATCTGAATTGAGGGCAGTCTTGTGGGGCTGAGCCCTTAACCTGTGGGGTCTGACCCTATTTCCTGATAGATGGTGTCAGAGTGGAGTTGAATTGTAGGACCGCTGACTGGTATCTGAAAAGGGCTTAATGGTGTGGAGAAAAACCCTCTCCTAATCTGAGGTGGTGATTTAATTCTAAAAGGTAATCTGTTCTTTAAACAGAGAGATCCTTAGAGGAAGGATCAGGAACTCTAACTCAATAATGTTTCCTCTGAGATCCTCTATTTCTGTATGCTTTAATTCTCTGCTCACAAAGCACCTTCTGCTCTAGCATTCAATCATCTCATTGACCAGTAAAAGTGCTGTATTCAGATGAAAATCATCAATTGCTGTTCCAGGTAATATCTCCCATTTAGCATTTTGGTTTATTCCATAAAATCCTTGTGAGTTTATTAGTATATCACAGTCATCCTTAGATAAATGGATGACACTGAGCTCCAGCATTTCTAAAGCTATGACTAGACTTTGAATTGCGGGTCCCTGTCTTCCGTCAGTCAGTTGTTGAGTGTTACTAGCCACTGTTGCTGGGTGCAGACTGTGCATCAGGGGCCCAGCAGTGAACCAGGCACATCCCACGTGGTCTCTGTCCTCACGCAGCTTGCAGTTGAGTAAGGAAGACGAAGTTTCCACACAGCGTATAACTTCTGTGGGTCAGCTTTACCCACTGCCTCGACAGGAGCTGTTGGGGTCACATTTGCCATCTGCCCTCCGTAAGTGTCCATCCACTCGTGTGACTGGAAGCATCTATTTAGAATGTGTAGACCTGGGGCCGGCCCAGTGGCACAGCAGTTAAGTGCACACGTTCCGCAGCCCGGGGTTCACTAGTTCAGATCCCGGGGGCAGACATGGCACCGCTTGGCACGTCATGCTGTGGTGGCGTCCCACATATAAAGTGGAGGAAGATGGGCACAGATATTAGCTCAGGGCCAGTCTTCCTCAGCAAAAAGAGGAGGATTGGTAGCAGGTAGCTCAAGGCTAATCGTCCTCAAAAAAAAAAAAAAAAAACCCAACAGCTTTATGGAGGTATAATTGGTATACAAAAAACACACATACTTAATCATAGACTTTTTAAGAATAGGAATTACTCTTTGTTCCTTGGCTCAGAACACCTGGGGAATATGAGCACTTTCTTTCTGGCAGATAAATTTCAAGCTTGATCAAAAGAAAGAGAACGGAGACCAGTTAGGAGGCTCTGGCAGCCGCTGGTAGAGAAGTCGAGTCTGGACTTGGAGACCAGGGCACTGGAAAGGAGAAAGCAGAGGCGACTTTAAGTTTTTGATTCTGTGGCCTTCACTCTACAAAATTCTGTGTCCCCCACCCTCTGCTTTGTTCACTGGTCAGCTGCAGAACTCTCACATTGTGTCTTAGAATTCCAGACAGGGTGGTGGCTTTAGCGTTGTGTAAATAGCGCCTGGCGCCCCAAAGCTCTCAGGGCTGTCTTAATGTGGGGGATTCATTCGTGGCACAGGCTAGCGTGGAGCAAAAGGTCAGCTGTGATGGGAGCAGAAGGAGCCCTTAGATCTGGCGTCTCCTTTTGTTCCTTTGGGACAGACAGGAGGCAAAGGGATTAGAAGATAAACCCTCAGCTTGTGGGGAAGTTGATAGTCTGGAACTTAAAGTTTTCCTAAGTCTCAGTTTATTGTAATCGTCTTCCATTGACCAGTCTTAGTGAAAAACTGATGTTTTGAGTATTGTAAATGATCTCTGCTTTTAGGATTCTGGGTTAAAAGAAAGCATGAATATGAAATAGGTAAAATTCTGTTGTTTGAAATTGCCAGAACATTTGCATAAATGGAGGCTGACTGACAGTATTAGCTGGTACTAAAACCACTGCCTTCTCCCCGTTTTAATAGAAGCTCTAATCCAGAGAAGCAATCTCTTACGTTGGGTTTTTGTTGCAGCTAGCCCTCCTCGATTTGTGACGGTGGAAGAACTTGTGGAGACAGCGAAAGGAGTCACGAACATGGCTCTCGCCCATGAAATTGTCGTAAACGGCAACTTTCGGATTAAACCCGTTGAGTTACCAGAAGACAGGTCAGTGGCTGCTGAGTCATCTTGTTAGGGGGCACTCCCGCTCCTCAGTTCTGGCAGTGTTTTCTTCATTTGATGTCAGTATGTTCACGTGTATTTTTCCTTTTGTATGCTGTTGCTGAAAAGTATTTCTTATATTAGGAATTATTAGAGTTTGAAAGTGGATCTGGGGACACTGATCCTTCAAAATGTAAATAAAAGGTCTGGAAATCTCCTGTAGAAATGTTTTCTGTCAGGTTCTTCCTACTCCCTGGGATTTCGCGGCCTCATCTTGTGTCTTCATTGTGTGTTTCATTCGTGTCTTCGTTGTAACTACCACACTGTACTGTGGTTGTCAGTTTAATTGTATTCTTCACCAGACTGTAAACTACAAAGACAAGGACTGTGCGTCATTCTCTGTATCCCTAGCAGCTGGCACGCATCATATTGAATCTAAAATTCTATTGATTGTAAGGTGTACCTTTTAAAATGGATTGTCATGAGAAAGAAAAAACATTGTGAAAGTGCCATGAGAAACTGTGGGATTCTGTTAACAAAGGAGGAGGAGTGGCTGCTGGGTGGGCAAGCTATGGTGTCTACCACACGAGGCTTTTTAGTAGGACTTTGCAAACAGTTTTTATATGTTCTTCAAAGATAGTACTTTTTCACATTAATAATAAAGAATTATTTGTTTTGCTCTCATAACATAAAGACTAGTTTTAATGAGATGTTATATGTAAGTTGTTATAGCTTGGTACCTAATTAACAGTTGTCCCATATATCACATTTGGAATAGGATATTTTTAGGAGATAAAGTCCTGCAACCCTATATACATGCTGAGCTATCATCTTAAACTACTTAATCATAAATACCTTAGGAAACTTGCTGGTATCAGGGGAAAATTAACAGCTCTGAACTTTGCAAGATTCTTTTTATCATATGGCACTGACTAATGTCATCTGTCGAATTAGTTGAAAGTTACTCTTTTCAAGAGATACTTATTGAAATAAATCACTAATTAAAAATAATGTATGTGATTGGCTTAAGTATGTCTGGGAAATCTTTCCTTCATCCAAATTATCTTAAAAATTTCTCATCCAAAACCCATAGAATTTCTGCTTTTTGAAAGTGCTTTGAGACTCAGACGTTTTTGCTTTTTTTGTTTGTTTGTCTCATTTGCCTCCAGCTTGGAGAAGAGGGTAAAGGATATTGTCCATAAGGCTTTTTGGGATTGCCTGAGTGTCCAGCTAAGTGAAGACCCCCCAGCCTATGACCACGCCATCAAACTGCTTGGAGAGATCAAAGAGGTGAGGGCGGAGCACAGTGTGCCGCTGGCCTGCTGTGTCAGGAGTCTTTACCCAACCGCTCTGTGTCTCTGTGCTGAAGACTTTAAAGAAATCAAAGGATTGGGAAGTTAAATTACTTGCCCAAATCTCAGTGTAGAGTATTTTTGGCTTTATGCCCTTTTTAAAATTCCAAATGAGCTGTGATAACCTGAAGACATTACTCTTGTAAATGAAGAAAAGGTTCATATTTTTAAAAATATAATTATTTAAAGAAAAAAATTTCTTTAAACAAAATATTTTACAAAATATAAATGATTTATAAAATTTTTAGTAGGTATGGACATTTTCAATTTATAATGGCCAAAAACTGACTCAGTCTGTGGGACGGAGAAGGCCAGGGCTGCTTCCGCAGTGCCTCTAGAAAGAGTATCGGAGAAGCGCTGTGTCCCGGACATCGGCATCTGTGGGTGGTTCACAGTAATTCATGTGTTTTCCTTTTCTTTTTTTTTTTTTCAAAGATTTTATTTTTTCCTTTTTCTCCCCAAAGTCCCCCGGTACATAGTTGTATATTCTTTGTTGTGGGTCCTTCTAGTTGTGGCATGTGGGACGCTGCCTCAGTGTGGTTTGATGAGCAGTGCCATGTCCGCGCCCAGGATTCGAACGAACGAAACACTGGGCCGCCTGCAGCGGAGCACGCGAACTTAACCACTCGGCCACGGGGCCAGCCCCTCCTTTTCTCACTTTTAACAGTTTTTTGTTCTTGTGTCCAGTTGATTGCTACCTGGAGCTTAAATAGCTAGTGTAAATGATTTGTAAACATGTTTTTCTGTAGATTTGTTGAATAAGAGGTGAAAGTATGTATAACATTACAGTAACAATTGGTGAGCCCTTAATTTGGATAGTTTTAAATTCCTTTACATATAATCAAAAATGATGTCTGACTAAGAACCTTTGATTAAATTGCCTGTGCTCTCTTGCAGACTCTCTTATCTTTCCTGCTGCCTGGTCACACCAGACTGAGAAACCAGATAAGAGAAGTCTTGGATCTGGATCTGATACAGCAGGAGGCAGAGCATGGGGCCCTAGACATTTCCAAGCTGGCAGAATTCATCATTGGCATGATGGGTACACTGTGTGCACCTGCTCGAGATGAGGAAGTAAACAAACTCAAGGACATTAAGGAAATAGTGCCCCTTTTCAGGTATGGGAATTGTGTTAATTGCCTTCAGTGCACCTAAAAGACAAAGCCTGTCTCCAAGTTGAAACTTCTTGAGTGTACATATTCGTGCGTTAAAAGAAAAATTTAAAAAGCCAACATTTTGTAAAATACAGAAAAGTAGAAAGGAGAAAATCCATCCGTAATTTTACCATCCAAAGACACGATTGCTGTTATATTGATATGTATTTTTTTAGTTTTGTTTCCCATAATATTTTATTTGAAAGATTCCAAACCTACATACAGAAAAGTTGCAAAAACAGCACAATCAACACTCATATATCCTTTACATAGATCTACCAGTTTTTAACATTCTGTCAATTTGCTTTATCTTTTTACATATATGTGAGTATGTACTCATATGCGTATACTTTTCCCCCTGAACCTTCTGAGGGTTAATGGCAGACTTTGTGACATTTCACCCTTAAATATTTCAGCAAGTACCTCCTAAGAATGTGGACATTCTCCTACATAATCAAAACACAACCAAGACATTCAAGAAATTTAACATTAATATAATCCTATGAACTAACGTATAGTCCATTTTCACTTCATTTAGTCTTTTGAATGTTTATTTTTAAATATATATAATTTTGATGAAATTTAGATAATTTTTATGCCAACATGGGCAAAGGATTGACATGATACTGCTTGAGAATTTAGACTTTTAGTTAACTGCTTCACTCTGTTTCCTGTGAACAGGTAAAGACGTTATATATCAAAATGCTAGTAGGCAACATTGCTTATGGGGAAAATGACCTCTTATTGGTAAACTGCAACTGAACTGAAAGGAATGATGATGAACTGTAAATACTGGGTGGGACACCGTGCTTTGCACTAGGAGTGGGATCACTGGGGTAATTGGGCACGCCTCCCTGGAGACCCTGGAAGCTGAGCCATAGAGCTGTTGCCAAATACATCGGGACAGGAGGCCTCTGGGCCAGGTGCGCCCTCACGTCTGCGGTGTCTGCTCTTGGAGAGGACTGCTTGGTGCTGCCCTGTCGGCAAACTGAACAGACGATGCCAGGCCTGTGGCTGCTGGTCGTCTCGTGAGCCTGCACGTCCAGTTGAACTGAAGGAGACCTCCTGGTGTGCATTGCAGGCCTGGCTTTCTTTGCTAACACTATATCCCAATCATTTCACTTATTTTTTAATTGAAAGTGTCATTGAGGTAATTATATATTCACATGGAGTTGTAAGAAATAACAGTACACTTCATCCAGTTTCCGCCCGTGGGGGCATTTCACAAAACTGTAGTATATCACAACGAAGATATTGACATTGATACAATCCACTGATCTGTTTAGATTTCCTGTTTTATTTGTACAATTGGTGTGTGTAGTAGATTAACTTTTGTACAGTTTTATCACCTAAGTTGGTGTATCCATTACCACATTCAAGATACTGAACAGTTCCAACACCACAGGGCTCTCTTGCATTGCCCTTTTATAATGTCAGCCTTAGAAACAAAACAGCCAGTTATTTTACCAGCAAAATGAGTTTATTCGGGATTAGGCAAAGAATCGCAATTCAGGATGTGCCATGCTATGGCAGACCATAAGCAAATCCAGCAATCAAAGGGGAAGAATGTTATTTTATAGGGAAAAAGGAAGAATTTGGGAGGGGTTATTTTGAACAAAAGTCCATTGGAGAAAAGCGAGAGTTCAGGGTTGTGATGATTTTTCATTGGCTGAGTTGCTGGGGTAGTCGATTTCTGTTTGGGGTGCAATGTACATTTCTTCCAGTAATTAACAATTCTTTCCTGTTGAGGACTTCTGTTGGGGTCTGTAATTGACTGTCTTTCCTGTAATTGATCTGGAGTCCATGGGACCTCCCCCCCCACTGCCTCTGGACTCCATCGTAGATGAGGTTTCCCATTATTATTTTCACGATAACCAACTTGTGATTTCTTTCAATTCCCCATAAGCATTTTCAGTGGTTGCAAAATCTTCATTTGCATAGATATAATTATTTCTCTGTTGAGGTGGACAATTAGATTATGTATAATTATATACTGTTTAACCCTGCAGTTTTTTTGTGTATTTTAGGTTATTTCCTAAAGCTAGCTTCTCAAGGGGCCAGCCCTGTGGCCAAGTGGTTAAGTTCCCATGCTCTGCTTTGGCAGCCCAGGGTTTCACCCGTTCTGATCCTGGGCGCGGACATGGCACCACTCATCAGGCCATGCTCAGGCAGCGTCCCACGTAGCACAAGCAGAGGGACCTACAACTAGATATACAACTATGTACTGGGCGGCTTTGGGGGGAAGAAGAAAAAACAGCTAGGTTCTTAAAATGGGTTTACTGTGTCAGAGGATCATGAACAGTCTTAAGACTCATTGCACGTTACCAACTTGCTTTACAAAAGTTTTATAGGCAAAAAAAGTCTCTTTCATTTCCAGCTTTCTTGATATCATTATGATATCAATGTTCATTGCATACAGAAATGCCCTGCATTGTATACCTCAGAGTTTGGACAGAGCATTGAAAAGCCCTCCTAAAAATAGTTTTGATTTGTTCCTTCATTTAGCAAGCTCTTACTGAGCACCTCTTATGTGCTATGTCATAAGGTATGACTTTTAGGTGCTAGACATTAGATATGAAATAGTCAGTAAAAGCTTTAATCCAGCGAGGATAGATGAGGAATTCCTGGGAAGAGGGTCCTCTGGGGAAATGGCTGGTAGCAAACTCAACCCGACTCAAATTCCTGTTGTAAAGAGGGGGCACTGGGGCGGCTGGTGGACTGGGGCACACGCCTGTGGAGAGGAGGCGGCAGTGGCAGCCTAGTGCCAGCTGATTGTGGCCGTGATGGCACGTGGGCCTGCGGGGCCAGATCTTTTGAGTTTTCAAAGTAAGGAATCCTGTGAGCACAGACCATGTTTGTGGGTTCCTTCCAGTCAGTGGTACCCCAGTTGGTGGTTTCCAGGGTCTCTGGTTTCCTGTACGTGAATTTAGGGAGCTGTTGAGAATGCTCAAAGGAGAGACAGAATGCCCTCAGGAAAGACGGGCTTTCCCGCGTGTGCGGGAGGCGGACAGATGGGAGGGGGAGGGCCCTGAGCTGTTCCTCAGCCTGCCGTGCTTTCCCATAGGAAGTCCCTTACGTGCAGGGGAGCGTATTCTGTCACAGTGGTCAGTCAGTCCCAGAGGGCGTCCAGGGACTTGGACACTGTTTGATCCTGTTCCTGCTTCTGTGCAGGGCCACACCTAACCCTGTCCCTTGGGTTCTTAACCAGCTCCTGCAGGTAGGCCAGTTAGCAGCTGCTGGCCTGGAGAGAGTAGTCGTGGTATGTGACAGGCAGGACGGCAGACACCCTCGGCAGGGTCCGGTCTGCCCACTGGGTACGTTCCGAGTGTGAACTAGCAACTGTGCCTCCAGAACCAGAATGCAGAACGCAACCCTGACACTAGGAGAGCCCGGAGGAGAGGAGAGGAGAGGAGAGGAGAAAGGAGAGCTAATTTTCTTTCTTTCCTGGGGAAGTGAATTGACTTCTGTGCGACTGGGGACGGGGTGGGAAGCTCTCCGCCCTGAACCCCAGGCCCTGGGCTCTGTCCCTCCTCTGTGGCTGTGCGAGGGCTGACCCGGAGCCCAGGAATGCGCTCTGGTCTCGGCAGCCTTTGGGGCTGTGTCTGCTTGGGGACCAGGGGTGGAGGAGCGGGGCCAGAAAGCAACGTGAACATTTACAGTTTTCCAAACCGTTGTTTAAGTTTCTGTGTTCTCTAAATTTTTCTTAATCTACTTCTCATGATGTCTCTAGCTTTTCTTGCTCCCCTTTCTGAGATGAGAAGATGATCTCAAGTCAGTCCCCTCTTTCCTTTAACACAGTGTTTACTCCCAGGCGCCCGTTCTAAACCCTTTTCTCTCCCTGTCCCTCAGGGCGATGTTCTCTGTGCTGGGCCTCATGAAGGTGGACATGGCCAACTTCGCCGTGAGCAGCATTCGGCCGCACCTCATGCAGCAGTCGGTCGAATATGAAAGGAAGAAGTTCCAAGAGCTTCTGGAGAAGCAGCCCAGTACGTTCGCGTCCATGGTGCTTTCTCGCGGTCTGTGTCTGCTCATTTTAGTTGCTGTAGCCTGTTGCAAACGGTATTGTTTTCAAAACAAAACTAAAATTTAGTATGAGAATAGTCTAATTTGAAGACAGAAAACTCCAAAACATTAGGACTTGAAGAGAAAACTTAATCGAGAAGCAAGAGAAATATAAACAGGATATAAGAATAGAAATTTAAGGGGCCGGCCCGCGGCCGAGTGGTTGAGTTCACCCGCTCCGCTTCGCGGCCCAGGGTTGGCGGGTTCGGGTCCCGCAGTGGACACGGCACCCTCATCAGGCCACGCTGAGGCGAGGTGGCACTCACAACTAGCACATACAACTGTGCACTGGGGGGCTGTGGGGAGACGAAGAAAAAGATTGGCCACAGACGTGAGCTCAGGTGCCAATCTTTATTTTCAAAGAAGAATAGAAATTTAAAAGAGTGAAGAAATCCTAAATTAAATGGGTTTTCAATGAAATCAGGAGTTTGACGTGAATTATATGGTTGGCCTTGATTGTAAAATCATGACAACTTGTGACTTTGATTCACTTTTTTGTTCCCTGTCAAGTGCATCAAGAAATTGCACTTTTCTTCGCTCTGTATGCAGAAATCTTCTGATTTCATATCCAGAGAAAGTCTCCTTTTTAGGAACCTCTCAGGTGACTGCGAGGAAACAGGGACTGGAAGCCGGAAGGACCTCGCTTCCCGGCGACCCTGGCTCCGCCTCGGCGGGCGCGGGCGCGGGCGCGGGGCGGTCTCCGGCCGTTCGTCCCGCGCCCTGCGGGGCCCGTGCGGCTCGCGGCGGGCGGCCGGCGGGAGGTCAGCGGGTCGGGCCTCAGGCGCGGCCGGAGCTCGGCGCCGTTCCCAGCCCCGTTCCTCAGATGCGGAAGTGATTTTGAGAGATTCGTGACCCGAACTGACAGACCCCGCGGCTCCCTCCCCGCCAGCATCGCCCCGGCCTCGGGCCGGCTGGGCTCGGAGGCTGAGGGCCCAGCGAGGGGGCGCTGCCCGCGCGGACGCGTCCTCGGCCCCCAGCCCCCGAGGGTCGCGGTGGTGACGGCGCCGAAGCCGCGGTTCCGAGCCGGCGGGCTGCGTGCCCCTCAGCCGGAGCGCCGCCGCCCCGCCGCGCCCTCGGCCGCCCTGGATTTGGGGCCCCGCCGGCGGAGCCGCCGCGCCTCCAGGTCTGAGGGGGCCGCCTCGCGCCTCTCGTCCCCGGGGCCCCGGGCGCCGCTCCGCTCAGGAGACGAGGGGCGACGGCGGGCCCCGCGGGGCTCCGGGCCACCTCCGGCGAGACCTCGGAGCTCGGGCGGCGCCGGTGCCTCGTGCTCCCTCGCGTTGGTCCGCGCCCCTCGCGGCAGCCGAGCACGTGCTGCCCGCGTCTCTGTGGAGAGCGTCGCCTTCAGACGGGGCCTGAGGGGCCGCGGGCGCTCGGCGGGGAGGCGCAGCGCGGGGTGTGGGCGCGGCGCCGCCCAGGGCCCCTCCCGGGCCGTCCTGGTAACGCGCGGCCTCGTCCCCACAGACGCGCTGGACTTCGTCACGCAGTGGCTGGAAGAAGCCGCCGGCGACCTCGCGGATCGGACGTGTGGACGCGCCCTGCCGGCCGGGGGCGGCGCCGCGGGCTCTGGGGACGCGCCGGTGCCGGTGCCGGTGCCGGTGCCGGACGCGGCGGCCGTGCAGGATCGCGCGTACCTGCGGCTCCTGCGGTGGGACCACCTGCGGAGGCCGTTCCCCGAGGTAGGTGCCGCCGCCGCCGTTCCTGGGGTGCGGCCCGACTTTAAAGAGAAAGCTTTCGTTACGGTGTGGCACACACCAGGAAACCGCCCCTTTAACCTCGCGTGATTCACTGGTTTTCGTGCGTTCCCAGAATCCGGCGACCGTTTTCAGAGCATTGTCAGGGCCCGCACAGAACCGTTCCCCTCCCCCAGCCCTGGCCCCGCTGCTGTCGGTCTTGGTGGGTCTGCCTGTTCTGGGTGTTTATACAGATGGAGTCCTACAACGTTGGCCGTTTGTGTCTGGCTGCTCTCACTGCACAGAATGTTCGTCCATGTTGTAGCGTGTGTCAGTGCTTCGTTCCCTTTTTTTTTCTTGTGGTAAAATATACATGTTCACCTTTTTTGTGTGTGTGTGAGGAAGATTAGTCCTGAGGTAACATCTGCTGCCAGTCCTCCTCTTTTTGCTGAGGAAGACTGGCCCTGAGCTCACATCCGTGCCCGTCTTCCTCTACTTTACATGTGGGACGCCACCACAGAATGGCGTGCCAAGCGGTGCCATGTGCGCACACGGGATCCGAACCGGCGAACCTGGGCCGCCCAATGGGAACCTGTGCACTGAACCGCTCCTCCGCCCGGCCTGCCCCAGAGTTCACCGTTTTAAGCCCGCGGTTCAGTGGCGTTAGGCACGTGCGCCTGGGCTTGCAGCCGTGGCCACCGTCGTCTCCGGAACTTTCCGTCTTCGTGAACTGAAGCTCCTCCAACACCAGCTCCTCTTCCCCGCTCCCAGCGCGGCCCCACGTCCGGCTGCGCGAGTCTCCCTGCTGGGGCCGCACGTGAGTGCCAGCGTCAGTCCTGCCCTTTGTGCCTGGCTGACTTCACTTGGCACGGCGTCCTCGAGGCCCGTCCCCGCTGCGGCTGTGTCCGCGTGTCTTACAGGCTGAGTGACCGTCCGTCACGTGGCCGCCCCCCTTCGCTCTGTTCCTTCCTCACCGAGGACGTTCGGGCGGTTTCCGCTTCTGGCTCCTGTGAGTTGCTGCTCTGGCCGCGTGCGTGCAGGTCTCTGTGCGGCCGTGCGTTTCCGGTGCGCTCGGGCGTTTCCGCTGCAGCCGGGCGTTTCCGGTGCGGCCGGGCGTTTCCAGTGCGCTCGGCGAGTGCCCGGGAGGAGAGCCGCCGGGCCTCGTGGAGCCCGAGAGCGCGGTGAGGGGCTGCCACGCTGCCGCCTCAGCCGCCGCACCGGTTCCGGTCCCCCGGCAGGTGTGGGGCCTGCCGTTTGTGCGGCTGAGTTGCTCTGCTGTTTTTGTGTGTTTTGATGAAAACCACGGCAGTGAGCTACTTTTCGGTTCTATCTGAAGAAACTTCTTCCCCTTCCGTGCAGAGCAATATTTTTTCTTTTTATGTTTTTCGCAGTAAGGGCTTCTAACGGCCCGGACTCACAGGGGAGCCCCCCGTTTTGTCTGCAAGGAGCTGGGCTGGTGTGCAGACTCCCCTCTCTTTGGAGGAGACTCGGGCTTCTCTCCTCTCGCCTCAGGTCCTGCTGCGTCTCTAAACGTCTTCCTCATCTGAGTTCCTTGTTTTTCTTTTCAAGACGTTGTTATACGCATAAGATGGCAGCTCTTGCCGGAGTTCCCGGTTCTGTGCCGGAGGAGGCTCTGAAGGGGGTGATGCAGCGGGCGGTGGGATGGTTCCTTCCTGGAGAGTGGTGTGCTCCCTCCTCCGCTGGAGGGCCCGCTCAGCCTGACGTGTCTCTTGAGGAACAGCCGGGGGAGCCCGTGTTTTCATAGCTGCTCGGAATGGACACTTGGACCTTGTTGGCATCCCAGACTCAAGTGCGGATGCTGCGGGGAGGCCACAGAGCGAGGGGCGGCCTGTCGCAAAGTGAAGTCACGAGAGGCTGAGGATGGGTCTGTTGAAGCATCTTCGTTGAACAGTAGAGGAGGCTCGGTCTTCAAAGATAGATTTTACTTCCCGAGAAGAATCCTAAGCTAAGACCCCAAATTGTTAATGTCTTGGTTTAGCATGTTGGTTTCGTATCGGAAGAAGTCCTGAAAGTTTATTTGATTAACGTGTAAAAACTCGGTCCCTCCTCCCCGCCAGGCGACTTTGGCCTGTGGACCCCGGGGTGTCTTTCACGTGGGGATGCAGCCGTGGAAATTCACTCATGGACTGCTTTCTAGTGGCTTTGGGTTGTTTTCTGTCCTTCCTACTTTTTCTAGCTACTATTTATTTTTCTTACTCACTTCCCAGTTCTCGGGAGCCTGCTTGGTGCAGGGTGCCAAGGGGGATGATCGCTGGCTCTGTGCTCAGGACTCTCCCCACCTCCCTCCTGGGCTCACTCTGGGTGGGGCGACTGCTGTCTGGTTTGTCACAGGACTTGGGAGTTTCAGTTTTAAAATCAGGACAAACTGGGAGGACTTGGTCACCCTAACGCTGTACCCTAACTCTTACCCTAACTTAGACAGGGATCACTCTTCCCTCTCTGATGATAGAACTTCTTGTTTATTGAGTGTTGGCTCTACCAGCCACTTTATATACATGGTCTTTTTGCATCTTTACAACAGCCCTGTGAAGCAGGAAACCCTCTTTTGCATGAGGCTCAGAAAATTGAAGAAACTTGCCTGAGGTTATGCAGCTATTGAATGATGGAATGTGGATTCACATTCTGTCTGTCTCATGGTTTGGTTTTGTTTTGTTTTGTTTGCTGACGAAGACTTGCCCTGAACTAACATCTGTCGCAGTCTTCCTCTATGTTTTTGTATGTGGGTCACCACCACAGCATGGCTGCCAAGTGTTGTAGGTCCGCGCCCAGAACAGAACTGAGAACCCAGGCCCCTAAAGTGGAGCATACTGAACTTAACTGCCAAGCCACGGGGCCGGCCCTGTCTCATGTTCTTAATGAGCATGCTCTACTGTAGCCTTTCTAAGGATGAAAGGGCTCTGAGATGGAAGGAGAGTTCACATGACTCCCCAATAGCTCTGAAATGACTAGAAAATCCTAAGGAAACTTGGGGGGGGGGTGTGGGGCTATGGCCCCCTGCCTTCTGCTGGCCAGCCACATCTACAGCTCAGGGATGATCTCTGTTGTGTTTATTACAGACGGTTTTGATGGACCAGGCTCGCTTCCAAGAACTCCAGCTGCAGCTGGAGCATCTGACCATCCTGGGGGCCGTGTTGCTGGTCACGTTCAGCGTGGCAGCCCCGGGAGTCTCCAGCCAGGCCGACTTTGCCGAGAAGCTCAAGATGACTGTGCAGATTCTGCTAACAGATATGCATCTGCCGTAAGTGGCTGAGAGCAGTGGGCTGGATGGATGGGAGGCAGCGGGTGGCAGAAGCAGACTGCAACGGGGGTCTCCTAGTGAAGGGCAGAATCTGGGGCCGCTCTCTAGGAACTGAAAGGAAACCTTGCCCTCCAGCTTTCTTCACCGTGGTGGAATTGACTCAGGGCCGTACAGTCAAAGTTGGAATCAGCTCTAGGGCTCACGAGGCTGTAGGATAGTGACCTCCAAATATTTGTGACCAGGATCCTTAGCAAAAAATTCATTTTTTGTTGTGATCTAGTACACACTTAGACACATATGTAACTGAAGTAAAAAACTTCACAAAGTGAAACTTACCCTGACTATGCTTAATACATCCCAGTGTTTCTATTCTATTCTCATTCCATTAAAAATATATGTCTACATTGGTTGCTACCCACGGAATTGCTTTCACAACCAACTAACAGTTTGGACAACACGTCCCGAGGGAAAGGTCATGTAAGAAACAAGCTGTGGTCTCAGAGTTGCGTGTACAGTCATCCTTTGGCATCCCCCCGGGGGATTGGTTCCAGGGCCCCCTGCAGGTACCAAAATCTGGGGATGCTCAAGTCTCTTATATAAAATGAAGTAGTATTTGCATATAATCTGCCCATGTTCTCCTCTAGATTACTCATAATACCTAATACAATGTAAATGCTATGTAAATAGTTGTTATACTGTATTGTTTAGGGAATAATGACAAGAAAAAGTCGGTACGTGTTCAGTACAGGCAGAACCATTGTAGGTCTTGCCATCAGAGGTTGGTTGAATTTGCAGATGTGGAACCCACAGATACAAAAGGCAGACTCTGTGGTTGAAGATTCCTTGCCTTTGCACATTCGTCATAGACATTTACGCTGGGTGAAATGGGTCACTTTATCAACCAGCACTAATGCACACTTGTGTGAGGCCGGCTGCTGTAACTGCTCCTGCGGCGACATCAGATTAGGTTACTTATGTGGTTTAGGGCGTATTGAATGTGTTTGGACGTTTCTAAGTAAGCACTGTATCTGACAAGGTCCACTTCAGAGGAATCTTCAAGGGGAATGTCCCAAACATTCTCATCCTTACCAAATGGGGGAATTACACTGCTGAGTTACATGAAGTGTGCGTGTGTCCATGGCAGTGAGGGGTGTGTCCACATGGCACGTATCCATCGCTGTGTGGGTGTGTCTACGTGCTGTGACCAGAGCTCCAGAGTCAGGCCTTAGGCCGGGAAGGTGTTTGCTGAGCTGAGGCCCTTGCACAGGTCTAGTCCTGGGCTTCGCCTCAGTCACCCTGCAGTGGAACTGCTCTGTCACAGCGACTGCTGGGGGCCCATGCAGCGCTGCCCAAGGCGACCAGCCCTTCTCTGCCCTGTCCGCCAGGTGGTCAGGGCCTGGCACAGAGTCAGGACCAGCAGTGAGGCCCGGGCTGGCATGTTCGCATCCACCTATTCTACTGCACGAAAGACATCGACCCCAGACAGAGGCAGTTGCCTTCTCCCGGAATCCCCACAGCAGGAGGGCCCCCACAGATGCTCTGGAGAGCCTGGGGTCCCTGGGAAATTGGGGTGCTGATTTTCTTGACTTTTGGATTTCAATTTTATTTATTCTTTTAAAGTAGTTGATACAGTGACATGTTTCCAAAATTAAAAGGGACAAAATAGTATCCGGCTAAAAGTGTCTCTCCCTCTGCTGTCTCACAGCTACACGATTTCTGATTTCTTGCATCTTGCTCCAGAGGTGTTCAAGGTGTTTATAAGTCAGTTCCAGGCTTCTTTCACCACATAGATCCTAGTAAAAAGTGGGGTTTTGGGTCGTTGGTCCTGGGATAGTCTGAGCCCTCCCCTTCCCCCCATCCCTTCTAGCCGAGAGAGAGAGAGACAGAGAGTGCCCTGAGCCAGGGGTCCCAGCCTGAGAGGCCAGGAGGGAGGAGGCGAATCTCCCTGCCCAGAGCACTCCTTATACTGGTCTGTGCCTCTTGGTGCGGGTGTGGAGCTGGGCAGGCGTGGGCTTCGTTCACAGGTCCTGGCTCCCCTGGCTTCTCCTTTCCCTTCTCTCTCCAGCTCCTTCCACCTGGAGGATGCCCTGACTGCCATCGGGGAGAAAGTCTGCGTGGAGGTGAGCAGCCGCCTTTCCCTGTGTGGGTTCAGCCCCCTCACTGCAGACCAGGAGACCGCGCTCAAGGGCCAGATCCAGGCTGTGGCCAGTCCCGACGACCCCGTCCGCAGGATCGTGGGTATGTTTGGGGGAAGACAGGGAGCAGGGCTGTGCCCTCAGGTGGGCTGGCAGGCAGGCCCTCTGAAGAAATCTGGAAGGGTTTTGATGGGTAGGAGTGCTGATGAGTGAGGTGAGAGTGATTGATCGCCATGTTGCAGTTTGGGTCCCCCAAAGGTTTGGACGAGTGGCCAGCAGCCGCCATCATTCTGAGGGAACTGGCTTTGGACCCTCGCTCCCACACTGTGAGATCACAGCAAATACACGCATGGGTCTCTGCCCGCAGCTCCTGGCACAGGGCTCCTAAAACCCTTGTGTTGTCCTGAGGGACAGAGCACCACCAGCATCTTCTGTTCTCGTATTTGGTCCTTGTTTTTTGTTTGTTTGTTTTTGTTTTTTTTTGAGGAAGATTAGCCCTGAGCTAACATCCACTGCCAATCCTCCTCTTTTTGCTGAGGAAGACTGGCCCTGAGCTAACATGCATGCCTATCTTCGTCTACTTTATATGTGGGACGCCTGCCGCAGCATGGCTTGCCAAGCAGTGCCATGTCCGCACCCGGGATCCGAACCGGTGAACCCCGGGCCCCTGAAGTGGAACGTGCGCACTTAACCACTGAGCCACTGGGCCAGCCCCTGTATTTGGTCCTTAACCTGGTTCCTGACACAGAGCTCCTAGGTCCTTTGGAATTTCCTGGGTCATAGGAGTTCCTTTTGTTCAGTGAGGTGACTCTGGGTGGACGCCTGACTGACTTCAGGACAGGGGCTTGTTGCAGGAAAGACCAAGCTTGGAACTTTCAGGCCCCCCCGCCCTCCAGAGAGGGGGAGGGACTGGAAATGTCGACGTGATGACCCCAGAAGTCCAGGGTTGGAGAGCTGCTAGGTGGGGAACACCTCCACGTAAGGGGGGTGCTGCACCCCCACTCCAAGGGGCTCTCCCAGACCTCACCCTGTGTGTATGTCTTCCTGTGGCTGTTCATCTGTATCCCTTATCACATCCTTTATTTTATAACTAAACAGAACTATTTCTTTGAGCTCTGTGAGGGAGAGGAGATGATGAGAACCTCCAGCTTGTAGCCAAGTCGGGCAGAAGTTGTGGTAACCTGGGGACCTCCTACTTGTGACTGGCATCTGAAGTGGGGACAGTCTGCTGGGCCGGGCCCTGCACCTGTGGGGTCTGACGCCCTTTCCAGGTAGTGTCGGAATTCAGCACGACGGTAGGACACCCAGCTGGTGTCACAGAGGATTGCTTGGTGTGGGAAGCCCCCACACTGGTGTCAGCAGTGGTAAGAGCACAGGAGGCGCGCAGGGCTTCCCTACAGAGGTTTGTGGGGTAGCGAGGCAAGTGACTGACACTGGAGTTTCCTCATCTCTCAACAGGGACGGTACCAGCAACCTCACGAGGTTGCTGAGGACGGCAGGCCTGTGCGGCAGCACGTAGCGAGCACTCGGGGGAGTAGCTGTTCCTGAGGAGAGTCCTCGGCTGTCAGCCGTTACTTCCCATCGTCACAGCAGTGGCCCCGTGAAACTTCTGCTCACTAGTTGATCAAGGAATACAATGTTTATCTAATCTTAAAAATTCAGGTTTATCTTTAGCGTAATTTAATTAATTTTGAAGTCTTTCTTCAACTTCATATGAAACCAGATAGGCGTTCAGCACGTAACACAGTCAGGTGTCGCTTAACGATGGGGATGCGTCCTGAGAAAGGCAGCGTTCGGCGGTTTCGTTGTCTTGCAGACGTCACAGTGCGTCACACAGACCTCCATGCTCGTCTTCTGGGGCCACCGTCATATACGTGGTCTGTTGTTGACTGAAACATTGTTATGCGATGCAGGATTATAATGAAAAATTAGCAGGCTTCAGGCACAAGCTGCATTGTCCATGGTGATCAGATTTCAGGTTGGAGTAGAAGGCTGGGCTAGTCACGTAGGCCTGTTTCTAATACTGACTGTTTTTATTATTAAGTAATTTACGAAAAGAGAGTTACAAGGATCAGTGGTTTTTAAAAGTTCCGTTCTTTCATCCCAGACGCAAGTGCGCTGCAATTTCCTCTGGGGGTCCCTCTGGAGGGGCCTCAGGCAGGTGCGCAGCCCCCGGATCGTCAAGAGCCCTCTTCTCACCCTTGGCAGAGCCTGGGCGGTGCCTGCAGAGAGACCTCCGGCTAGTGGACTGCTCCTTGTCCTGCATCTTGCTGTTTAGTAACGGCCAGTTATAGACATGGGTAAACCCAGCCCTCGGGCAGGATGCTGCCAGAAGCTCCACTTCTGGGTGAGGCTTCCGGCTTTAGGGACCTTAGAAAACAAAGCTAACACTGGAACAGGGGTGATCAGACCCCTGTGGTCAACAGTTTCTCTGTTATGTGTTAGCGAGTTCCAGAGGGTGTAAGTCATTTGACCTGAGAAGGTCCCCCAGGGTAGGAGGTGGGCACATCGTTTGAAAAAGCCCATTCAATGTACTGTCCCTGTTGTTTTTGTAAGACACCCCACAGGAAGGGTCGCTCACTCTTCTTTGGCTGGTGAGGATGCGCAGGAGAGTGCAAAGGCATGGCCGAGGGCAATGGCTGAGCAGCATCAGCCTGCAGCGTCCCCGGAGGTGGACGGGGTTGCAGATGGCCAACTCCATGTTCCCACTGTAGGCGTGAAAGAAGGGAGCTCAGGCTTCTTGCCTGTGGGCCGAGTGAGGAAAGGCAGATCCAGAGTCAGCGGTGCTGGAATCGTCTCTCGAGCTTGCGGTTGCTGCTTTACCCGTCCCCCACTGGACGTGGGCTTCAGCAGCGGCGGAGGTGGCCTCCATACGTCTGGCTCCTCTGAGGGCAGAGCCCCTTGGCACTCTCATTCCCCGATGCGTTCATACGCTCGTTCTGGCTTCCCACTGGTATTTGGAGCTTTTCCCAGGGTGGGGCACAGGCTGGGCACTGTGCTGCGCGCTGGGGAGAGAATGATGACCAAGATGCACGTGGTTCCTGCCCTTGTGAACCACCATCCAGAGAGGGAGGGGACACACAAATGGGCGAATGTTCACAAGTGTAAGGCAGGCAGGTATGTGGTCTAGGGGGTGGTCAGGGAAGACTCCTGAAAAGGTGATGTTTCAGCTCAAAACCGAAGCAGAAGCAGAAGTTTGTGAAGTCACCCTGAACAAGAAACAACCACCTGCTTTCTCTTCTACCACAGATGCCCGAATCCTGACCTTCTTGGAAACCTGCCTTGCCTCAGGTCATCAGAAGCCATTGCCCACCGTCCCTGGGGGATTGGGTCCAGTTCACAAAGAGCTGGAGGAGCTTGCTGTTAAGTTCGTTCGCCTGGTCAACTATAACAAGATGGTCTTCAGTCCCTACTACGACGCGACCCTCAGGAAGATCCTCGTGGGACCCTAGCACACGTGCTTCCTGCAGCGCCTTGTGACCCACCCGCTCAGATGCCTGTCTCAGCTCTAACGTCGCTTCGGAAAATGGCTATTTAGTACATTTCTGTTTAACAACACCAATTCCAAAAGGAAGAATATTGCTCATCACTGTTGAAAAGACTTGTTGAGAAACGCACTGACTTCTCTTTTGAGGGTTAGTGTTTAAGAGCGCAGGTTTACACATCAAAGCAGTTTGTCTTGTGTCGGGTTTCACAGGTGGCCTCAGCTTTTGGGGTGGGCTGCCCGTGTCTGCACCCCGCTGTGTCAGGACTGCAGCCGCCTGTCTCTCCCAGGCCTGGGGCCTCTCTCTGCCTTCAGGGAGTGGTTCTTTCTGACCCCCAAGAGTGTCTGACAGCCCCAAGAGGGAAGAAACGGAGCCTTGAGCAGGATGTGCTTAGACTCCTGTCCCTCACACACGGCCCCTCCGCCTCTGTCCAGGTCTTTCCTTGGAATGGGCTTGCATAGTCTTACTGCCTTTCGCCCGACTTCCTGCCTCCTGCCCGGCCCGGCCAGAGCCCCAGAGCCCTTTTGTTCTCGAGGAGAGTTGCGTGATTCGGAAAAGCTTATTCTTTTACTCAGAATTAGTCCTGAGCCTGGATGATAACAGTTAGGACTTAGGCGATCGAGAGAAAGGGAATTCTTTGACTTTTAAGCCTTGAAAGTTAAGGAGGAGAAAAACTTTTAAAAAATATGTTAGGGGCTGGCCTGGTGGCCAAGTGGTTAAGTTCATGCCCTCCGCTTTGGCAGCCCGGTGTTCATCGGTTTGGATCCTGGGTGCCGACATGGCACTGCTCATGAATCCATGCTGAGGTGGCGTCCCACAGAGAAGAGCTAGAAGGACCATGAGTAGGGTATACAACTGTGTACTGGGGCTTTGGGGAGAAAAAAAAGAGGAAGATTGGTAACTGCTGTTAGGGCCAATCTTCTTCATCAAAAAAATTTTAATGTTAGTATAATATAAAAGAAAACAAATGTTTGGAATTAGTACTGAAAAATTTGCTCTTCTACAATACACAGATGTCTTGATTGGATTAGGATTCCAGAATTAGACTTAATTGTTTCCAGATAAAATAGTGTAAACTTACTTATTTCTTGGATAGGGAAGTCCTTGGAAACCCCCGGGTTTTCAGCAGTTTTCAAGGAACTTCAGTGACCAGAATTCCGGACATGTCCTGTGACTGAAACGGTAGTTGGGTCTCACAGATGACCTGATCTGTTGAAAAGATGAACCATGCGCGAGTGTTTAGACAGGGACCTCCCGCCCCCAGAACAGCAGGGGCTGGGGTCCCGCAGGCGCCCTCACTGCGGCCGAGGACCCCGCGCCTCTGGGCTGGGTGGTGACGCCAGGCTTCAGAGGGGAGCAGGTTCCTTTGGGGGGAGTGCGGTTTCTGCAAGTGCGCTGCGCACCGCTCCGGGGTGTGCCTTGCAGTCAGGGCGTTGGCAGCGCCAGGTGGTCAGGAGTCGGACCCCAGGACGGATCTCCCGGTTCCGCTGGGAAGTGATGCAGTTCAGGGAGTAGAGCTTGTGAGGAGCACGGCGGCGTCCGGAGCGGCGCGCTCACGAGGCTGCAGGGCTGGGGCGGTGGACGCGTGCCGCCCCCAGGACCCGAGGACCCGAGGACCCGGGAGGGGAGCTGCGCCCCGGGTGGACGGGTGCGCGCCGCTTCCTGCGCGCTCCTCCTGGCTCTCGCGCGCCTCCCTTGTGCCTGCCTCTGGAAGAGCTCACTCTTGCGAGGTCTTTCCCTCGCGGGCTCCTGAGCCGACGAGGTTGAGTTCGGACGGTTGGGAAGGGTGACGCCCGTGTAACGGGGCGCCTCCCGGGAGCCGGGGCCCCAACGCCTTGCGTCCGCTGGGCGAGGTGAAGAGCCCAGAGCGAAGGGGCAAAGTCCAGAATTACAGTATTCATATTGAATCATTTTGTTGCTGCTCGTTGACGATAAGTGAGCTAATTTTCCTCCTGGAATCTCATGGGATTGCGCTAAGGGCCGCGAAAATGCATTTGTTCATTTAGTCACTCAGGAAATGTTGATCAAGCACGTACTGTCACTCCTCCAGCAGCTGTCCCTCCAAGACAGGATACCCTCTGGGGTACAGATTATCCTTTAGAATTGAGTTGGTTCTATATACTGCGTACTGATTGTGTTTGTCACGATTTCCTGCCTAACAGTTTTGTGGAAACAAGTGTCTTTTATGGAAGTGCCAAGTTTATTCGGCAGGAGGGCTTCACTGAGTGGACAGAACGGGCGCCTGAGAGGTCTTATCAGCAAGTCTCGGGTTTATCTGATAGTCTCACGAAGGAAGGAAGAGCAGTACCTGCTACTTTGTCCTTTGGTGGGTGGCTGGGTGGGTGGATTCTCGGTCTAGGTGTTTTTTAAAAAAAATCTCATTACTTTTAAAGCAAGCTGTAAAATGTGATTGTTTATGTAACCACATAACCCAACTATAGGTATACTTCAGATAAGAACCACACTGATACGATGTCTGGCCAATTAACTGCAGTGGACAGGGGTCTAAGAGCTGTTCTCTGTGGAGAAAGTGATTCGTAAGTTCGGCATAGCAGGCATACACTGTGCCCGTCCTGGCTGCGGGTTCCGAACGGATTCCTCAGCAGCTGTGTTCTGGCTGTGCTTATTTTCATTTCTCCAAAGCCCTAACTTTCCTGGGCATAGAGATGCTGCTGCCACCAGCTTTCCTGGTGAGTTCCAAAGGCAGAGGTGTTTGCCGTTTGATTTCCAGTGAGCTCTTGGCGTGCCCTCATTTGTATGTATTACATTTGTATTTCTTTTCATTTAGAGGCAGGATGGTAGACTGGAAAGACTGGGAACTGTCAAGAAGCCAGAGTTCTGATCCCCTTTCTGTTACGTGCTAGCTCGGGCAGATCAGGACCCCTCCCCAACCTATAAAATGGAAGGCCTACACTCGGCCTGTCGCCTCCTGTCTAATCCTGATGTTCTGTGATGAATCTGACTTGAGTAACGTAAGTGGACTGCACAGGATTGTGCACAAAGCTGATTTGGAGGAAGGTCTGGGTTTGAGTCTTTCCTCTGCAGGTGGTCTGATGGTGGGCCAGTCAGTCTCCCTTGGGGCTCAGTATCTTCATCTGTAAAATGGGAACACTACTCACACTTCTGTGAGGATTAGATTTGATCATGGATATTGGAATGCTTTGTCCATGGGAAGGAGTATCACTTGCTTTGACAGCAAAGAAGAGCATGGAAGCCTCAACCAGTGGGTGCACATCTGTTAGCGTGACACAGTCGACTGCTGGCGTCCAGCCGTCCTCCGGCGGGCACGTTATAGGACCGCAGGGAAGGTTTTCCTCCTGTCCTGTCCTAAGACAGTGACGTTCTTTCCTCATCTCTTACCTTTTCTTCTCTCCCCATGTCCACCTCCACCCCAGTGATTTCTCCCCATCTCCACCTCTGTATTATTTGAACTAAATGATGCCTGTCTGAACAGATAGACGGATGGCTGAATGGTAGTGGATGACAGACTGTGAAGCACATTTAAAGGCCCTGTCTCATTGAAAACTAAATAAAGAACTACCACGATGTCTGCAATTGTGTATTTATGTTGGACTTTGTGTTATATAACTATTTTAATGGATAGCCTTTTGTATTCATAGTATTCACAGTAACTTCATGGTGTGGGGGAGGGGAAGGCCTTTAAGCCCCATAAGCTCTATTAACTTATCAAATGTTCCCCAATACTTTCAGCAGAAT